GGGGGGACTACAAAGGCTTTCAAAAGGAACCTAGATCCAGAGGGTGCAGAGGAAGGTAGACTCTCCACTGAGTAGTATCCAATCTGCCTGGGCAGGACTGATGAAAGGAGATGGGGATGGCACTCCTGTGGTACAACAGTGAATAATTACTATCAGGACTGACTGTGAGGGTTGGAAATGTAAAGGTAGATGCTTTGTAGCAAGGAGGGGAGTGGTTGACTTTGCAGGCCATGAGCGGAGGTCCCTGGGACCAACAAGGGAGAAGAGCAGAATGCGGGACCCTACCCAGAAAAACAGTGACGCCAGAGATGGAGCCAGAGACTATGACATGGAGAGATGAAGCGGCTGAGGACTCTAGACCCAGAGAGGGAGAGGGACTGTGTACTGATGACTGAGGGACAGGCTTGCCGCGTGTACCCTTTGGTTGGTTGATATACATGGAGGGGATTGTAACCATGGCAATATAACAATATACGATAGGATGAATATAAAGTTAATGTTCTCCCATGTAAACGATTACATAATTCACATTAAAAAAGTTTAAAAAAAAAGATGAGTCTATCTGATCCTGTAATGCCTTACAGTCTGGGCAACCCTATGGAGCAGTTCTGCCTTGTCACACAGGGCCACTACAAGTCAGAATCGTATCAATGGCAGTGGGTGAGTTACATTCTTAGAGGAGCTCGGGTGGTACAACAGTTAAGCTCTCAGCAGCTAACCAAAAGATTGATGGTTCAAACACAGCGAGTGGCTCCTCAAGACAAAGAAAGATCCAGGAAGCTGCTTCAATGAAGACTGCTGTTGGGTTGTTGAGTGCCATCGAGCTGGTTCCCACTCAAAGCGACCCTGTACAGGGTTTCCAAGGAATGACTGGTGTGTCTGAATCGCCAACCTTAATGCCCATTGTTTATCCTGTAGCACCACACCAGGACAGAATAAAGTTGTTGTTGTTAAGTACCACCAAGTCAGTTCCAACTCAGCAACCCTGTATAGGGTTTCCAAGAAGCGGTTGGTGAGTTTTAACCAATGACTCTGTAGTTCAAACCGACCTTATGGTCCGGTGCTTTATCCCACAGCAACATACTAGGACTCCTCAGTAAAGACTACAACATAGAAAATCCTACTCTATCACATGGTATTGCTATGAATTAAAATGGATTCAATGGCTCCTAACATCACCACCAACATGCTCTGATGAGCAGGCTACTGAGAGGTCACAGAGGGGAAATATTTAGCCCTGGGTAGGGGTGTGAGACAGAGGGGGTGCTATTTGATTAGAGGCCTGAAGGACAATCAGAAGGAGCCTGTCAGAGGGGCTGGCATGGAGCCACAAATAGCAAGGTGTGGGCAAGACACATTCTGTAGCACTGTATTATTGGGTCTTAAAGTGCATATACAAGATTGGTAGGAAGGGATCAGATGCAGATGGGGGGCAAAGGGGCATATATTAATTATCACTGGTGTTAAGGAACCCGGGTAGATAGTGGTTAAAGTAGATGGCAGCTATCCAATCTGATCTCTCAGCTCCATGGGAAAAAGACGTAGCAGTCTGCTTTCATAAAGTTTATTGTTGTTAGCTGCCTATAAAGACCTTGTATAGGGTTTCTGAGGCTGTAAATCTTTATGGGAACAGAAAGCCTCATCTTTCTCCCATGGAATTAGTGGTAGTTTCGAACTGCTGACCTTGAGGTTAGCAGCCTGACTCATAACCACTACGCTACCAGAGCTCCATAAAGATTACACCCTTGGAAACCCTATTGGGAGTTCTACTCCTCCATCCTATAGGGTTATTATGAAGTGGAATCCACTCAGCGTTAATGGGTTTTTGGTTTATCACTGGTGTTAAGCATGTCTAAGAACTCAAGAAGGGTATTTTACAGGGCCCTTTTGGTATCAGGGAATGATGGTGGTGCAGCAGTTAAAGCACTAGGCTGCTTACAAAAGAGGTTATCACTTGGAAATCACCAGTCTCTCTGAAAGAAAGATGTGGCAGTCTGTTTCTGTAAAGACTGTTGTTGTTGTTAAGTGCCGTCGAGTCAGTTCTGACCCATAGTGACCCTGTACAGGGTTTCCAACGAGCAACTGGTGAGCCTGAATCACCGACCAGACAGTTCAAAAGGTTTTGCAGTCTGGCACATTAACCCACAGCGCCACACCAGGACTCCAGCCTTGGAAATCCTATAGGGCATTTCTACTCTGTCTTATAGAGTCGAAAAGAGTCAGAATCAACTAGATGGCAGTGGTCTGGGTTTTGCTATTAACTAAGGAGCCCGGGTAGCACAATGGCTAAGCACTTGGCTGGAACCCACCAGTTACTCTCCAGGAAAAAAATGTGTTGTTGTTGCTAAGCACTGCTGGTTCCAATTCATAACGATCCTGTATAGGGTTTCCAAGGAGCGATGCGTGAGCTTGAATCGTCAGCTTTGAGGTTCAAACAGACTTTGCAGTCCAGCCCATTAACCTGCAGCGCCACACCAGGACTGTTGAAGACCACAGCCCTGGAAACCCTATTGGGCTGTTCCACTGTCAGACAGCTTCTTTCTGAATTGGAGCACACAACAAAGAAAGTCTTTCAAGATTTTTTCTAAAGGAAGTAGGGGGGGGCGGGTAACTTCGGATGACAATGTTATAGGAAGTGTAAATATTTTCCTCCTCATTTTCAGGCCCTGATTCCTCCCAACTTCTTTCCCCTAGTAACCAGATACTTCTACTCGCTATCACAGTTTTGTGGGAGAGGATCCTGCACTCTCCCCAAGAGTCGCCTTGGGTGGGCGGGGCGGTAGAGGGTCAGCACCCCCGAGCTCCCTAACACTGCATGGGACGGAGTAAGGCCCAGCAGAGGAAAGGGGCGGAACCTGGGACTTGGGGTGGTATGGGAAGGGTCGGACAGGGTCAAGAACGGACACCCAGCAGGGAGGCTGGACCCAGCGTCAATGCATGTCCCTCGTGCCATCATCCTGGCCCCCATGACGTCTACAAGACCCACCTGCTCCATGTTAGCCACGGCCCTGGGTCTTCCTGCCCCAGCTGTAGTCTAGCTCCGCGGCCTCAGAAGCGCCTATGAGCGGAAGGGAACCTCCCAGCACCGCCACTTCCGCCGCTGACTCCGCCTCCGAGAGAGTGAACCGTGACGTGCTTTGGACTTCAACTCCGCCCCTTAGATTCAGGTTCCGCCCCCCAAACCCTGGGGCCATACAAAGACTCACCGGAAGTGGGGGCCTATGGTTAAAGGTTAAAGTTTGACTTTAAGAGGCTCTTTTTTAAGAGTGCAAAGAGTTGGAACTAAGCCCAGGAGCGTCATCGTTATTGGAACACAGGACACAGAGTTCTGGCACTGTGGAAAAAGAAGGAACTTGCTGAGAGGAGGCCTGTCTGGGTGAGGGGAGGACAAGACCCTGAGAGGAATATGCAATAATAACTCTTGAAGGACTTCCTCTTTTCCTTTCTGTCTCTTTCAGTTCTTCCTAGCAGGATCTAGAATTTCTATGGTCCAACCTAAGAGTGCCAGAGCCTGCTGTCTGCAGGACAAAACTCCCAGACTAGACGACTGGACAGTATGGTGGTGGCACTGATCATCAGTCAGGTCTTCCCTTCAGTTAAGTGTTTTGAGTCGGTTCCGACTGTATAGAGTTTCTAAAGAACATCTGGTGAGTTTGAACTGCGGACCTTGTCATTAGCAATTTAGTGTTTATCCTACAGCGACACACCAGGACTCTGTCAGTAACCCTTCAGTTGTTAAATACCGTGGAGTCGGTTCCGACTCATAGCGACCCTGCACAGGGTTTCCGAGGCTGTAAATCTTTACGGGAGCAGAAAGCCTCATTTTTCTCCCACGGAAAAGCTGGTAGTTTCGAACTGCTGACCTTGTATCTCCCCTCCCTGCACCTTTCCCCTGAAAGAGGAGTCTCAGCACAGTTATTTAGAAAGATTTATTACAGCACGGAGGAGTGCAGACCTGCAGTCAGGGAAGAAGGGGAAGGAGGCAGAACAGCTGGAGGACAAGGAGGAGAACCTGGCTACCCCCACCGTGTGCCCCCACAAGGATGCATACTAGGCGGCATTCCTGGCATCAAAGCACAAACAAAATGCAACAAAGCAGCCTCCGCCAATCCACCTTCCAGACACCCAGGCTGAGGCGCAGCAGTGGTAAAAGGATGATTTCCAAAATTTTGAGGCTGTGGAGAAGAATGAATGAGTCCTGGGCCCTGGCAGAAGCCAGTGAGGGGGGTGATGATTTGGAATCCCCCGTATGAGAGAAAATGAAGAATCTAAGGGCACCTATAGGTTCTCAGAACCCCCTTCCCCCAGATCTTAGGGTCCTGCCCTGCAGTCTCCTAATTGTGAATAATAGAACCTTGTCCCCAGGTTCCTGGATTTTCCAATGTGGACTCTCTTACATCCCACCTCCCATTGGGTGAATGGGGGATTAACTGGCAGGGGTAGGCATCAGGGGTAGCAAGTGCCCAGGAAGCTGGGCATTAGCCAAAGGTGGGCAAACAAGCAAACACAGACCAGCCTTGGTCTCCTAGAAGTCAGAAGCCGCAGCCCTAGCAGGTAAAGGAAGGGTACAAAGTAGGGTAAGGGTAGAATGGGGTTATGGAGAACAGCAATGCCCGCTCCACTTTCTCCTTCCTGGAAGATGCAGGGCTTGGTGCCTATGTGCCAGGCTCTAGTGGGGCAGGGTGCTGTGGCTCCTCCCCCAGCTCTGCAAGGCAAGTAGGGAGGGACTCAAGAGCTGGCCCCATCCACAAAGATCCCAGCCCCACCTCCCCCATCCCACACTCCAGGCCTCACCACTTTGTGTTGGGTCTTTCACTTGATCCTCAGAGCTCCCATCTCTCTGGGGCTCATCCAGAGGGGGTGGGCGCTCCCAAGGCCCCTCCAGACCCTGGCCACAGGTTGCTTTCTGTCCAGCTGGGAATGGATAAAAGGGGAAAAAAATACAGGCTCTGAGTATCCATCTAGCTGTCCTGGAACATGAAGCCTGTTGCTTTGATGGTTGAAGCTGAGCTTTCTGAGGGTACCATAAGACAGTGAAGAGAGGACTGGATTAAGAGCTACTCCAATGATTAGCTGTGTGAATTCTTGTTGTTGTTGTTGTTAGGTGCCATCAAGTAGGTTCCAAGTCATAGCGACCCTTTGCACAACGGAACAAAAAACTGCCTATTCATGCACCATGCTCACAATTGTTGTTATGTTTGAGCCTATTGTTGAATGTTTTCATCTTCCAGAACAGTATCGGACAATGTTCCACTGCTAATCATAAGGTTTTCAGTGGCTAACCATTAGAAGTAGTCCTCCTCTCTTTCTTTCTAGTCTTAGTGTGGGAGCGCTGCTGAAACCTATCCACCATGGGCAAACCTGCTGATATTTACAATACTGGTGCCATAGCTTCAAGGAGCTCTGGTAGTGTAGTGGTTACGAATCAGGCTGCGAACCGCAAGGTCAGCAGTTCGAAACTACCAGCTGTTCCGCGGGAGAAAGATGAGGCTTTCTGCTCCCGTAAAGATTTACAGCCTCGGAAACCCTGTACAGGGTCGCTATGGGTCAGAACCAACTCCACGACACACAGCAGCAGCAGCAGGTGCCATAGCTTCACAGCAACATGTAGGCCAAACTGGCAGACGAGTGGTTTCTGCCATAGAATTGATTCTAACTTACAGTTAACCTTTAGGACAGAGAACTGCTCCATAAGTGTTTTCCAGATGACACTATAAATCTGCATGGGAGCAGACAGCTTTAGCTGGTTGAACCACCAACCTTGCAGTTAGCAGCCCAACGCTAATCCTCCTACACCACCAGGGTGCCTTTGAAAGAGATTAAATCAAACCCCAAACACCCAGTGCCATCGAATCAATTCCTACTCCTGGCAATGCTGTCTGTGCAGTGTTTCCGAGGCTGTAAATCTTTACAGGAGCAGAAAGCCTCATCTTTCTCCTGAGGAGCAGCTGGTAGATTTGATTGTCAACCTTATGGTTAGCAGTCAAGCGCTTATCCTACAGGGCCATCAGGGCTCTTTTTGAAGGAAATGGTAGTGGTGGTGGTGTGCCATCGAGTCAGTTCTGACTCATGTTGTTGTTAAGTGCCATGGAGTCGGTTCTGACCTTATATAGGGTTTCCTAGGAGCAGCTGGTGACCTTGAACCACCGACCTTACAGTTCAAACCAACTTTGTAGTCCAGCGCATTAACCCACAGCACCACACCAGGACTCCTAGCAACCCCATATAGGGTTTCTAAGGCTGTAAATGTTTGTGGGAACAGAAAGCCTCATCTTTCTCATCTTCAAACCTGGTGGACTTGAACTGCTGACCTTGCAATTAGCAGCCCAATGTGTAACCCACAACACTACCAGGGCCCCTTTCTGAAAGAAATAGCAAGAAGGAAATTTTGTCTATCACCTTAAATAAGACACTACCCTTCCCAGCCCAGTGGCGCTCACTCCACTGGCAATGATAGTTGGTACTGCTCCTTGGGAATCTTGTCATTAGCCGATTTTGTTGTGAGGAAATAGTCTCCTTTCACCTCCTTCCCACCTGTTCTGGGTTCTCAGCAGGAATTGACTCAGCTCTTCAGTTCTTCCCCATTGCTGGCTACAAAATCTCCCTAGCCAATGTCCCCAACACTCGAGATGCAAATAGGAGGCCCAAGCCATTTTGTCTGGATGCAAGTCTAGATACTTCAAACAGGGGTGATCATCTGCTTTTCCTCCCCCTAAACAGTAGGACTAAAAAGTTAAACATGCACTTGGAAAGAGATAGTGCAAATGGTTTCTTTGCTTGGCTGCTAACCAAAACCATTGATGGTTTAAGTCTGGCCAGGGGCACCTCAGAAGAAAGGCCTGGTGATCTACTTCCCCAAAATCAGCCTCTGAAAACCCAATGGTGCACACTTCCTCCATGAGATGGAAATCAACAGCAACTGGCTTGTTTTATTTTTGTTTTGGGGGATAAATATGGAGTCATAGTGTGGTGCTGAAGGGTAAGCACTGGACTGCTAACTGCAAGATCCAAGGTTCAAACCCTTCAGCAGAACCAACTCGAAGGCATTTAACAACAATAAATGTGGAGGATAAACCATAGGAAGATGTGCTCTTTCTGCCTAGAAGTTCTCCAGGCCTTCAGACCCTCTGTGATGTGTTTTGGATCTGGGGCCTCTGGCTCTGAGGCTGTCTATCTGAATCTTAGGACCCTCTTTGGCTCCTCTCTTCCTCAGTAACCAGGGTTGGAGGTACAGAGGACCAAATTGGTTCTTGAATCCTGGTTTCTCATCTGGACACTAGAGGGCACCCTCTCACCCCTTGCTTGTTAAATGCTGTAGAGTGGGTTCCAACTCTTGGCACCAACTCACAGTAACCCTGTATAACGTTTCCCAGGAGCGGCTGGTGAGTTTGAACCACCAACCTTGAGGTTCAAGCTGGGCTTGCAGTCCAGCTCATTATCCCACAGCACCAGAAAATAGCCACAAAGTCCTGGAGAGGGCAGATCAGCCAATCCTCTGCCTCCCATTGGAGACCACATCATAAGTTCAGAAATGCAGGGGAAGGGGGTTTTGCCCTCTCTCAGTCCTCTGTCCCTGCATTCTCTTGTGCCCCCTTGTCTCTATAGATGGAAAATCCTTTTTTGGGTTTACCTTCAAACCCCATGTGTTGTGATTCCTGGGGACGAAAGGAAGCAGGGAAAACCTGATTGGTAAAATATTGTGGATTGAATTTTGTTCCTTCAAAATATGTGTTGTAAATCCTAACACCTATGCCTGTGGGTATAACCTTTGTTATATGAGGTAGGGTGTATCTTGAGGCAATCTCCTTGGAAACAGGAAAGAGTTTAAACAAGCAAGTGAGGCAGCAGAGATGGGTAACAGACCCACCAAGCCACATAAAGAAGAGAAGCTCAGAAAAGACAAGGACCTTTCTCCAGAGATGACAGAGAAGAAAAGCCTTCTCCTAGAGCCAGCACCCTGAAGTTGGACTTCTAGTCTCCTAATTGTGTGAAAACCATCCACTTGTGGTATTTTTGTTATAGCAGCACTAAAGAACGAACACATTGAGTGGCTGAGCCAAAGAGGAGAGAGGCTCAGGTCTCAGGTCAGGCTGAATAAGGCCTTCTATGGGTGAGCAATTGCGGAAGGGGGGCGGCACAGTTTCACTGCAGATAACATGTGAGAAGCTGTGAACTGGAGGGGGTGCTACAGGATGCTTAAGGCAGACCCATGCTCTGTGCATGGTGGTGGGACCCAGGCGGTGGGTGCAGTCCCTTCAGCTTACCAGATTCCCTGTTGCCCTTCAGGACTTCAGCCTGGCTGTCCTCCTCTTCATCCTCCTCTTCATCATCCTCATCCTCATCCTCATCTTCATCATCCTCTCTTGGATAGCCCAGGGCCCGCAGCTCCCCCAGCTCATCTTCCTCCTCCTCTGAGGGCTGGTTCTCACTCAAGTTGCTGATGGATTGCAGGTGAGACTCAGCTATGCGCTGCACAGCTGGAACAGAGGGGCCCAGGAAGGCAAGGGTCAGCTAGGTCTAAGAATCAGCCCACAGAGTTGGCCATGGGGGTGTAGTCCAGCCACTGGCCTCCTTTCCATGAGCCTGAAGCAGAGATAATCCTCTCAAGACTGCAGGTTACCCAGCGGGGGACCAGACTCTTGCACATGTTTGACTCTTAAGCTGCCCCAAGATGCTGGCTCCTGGAAGCTGGCACTAGGCTGTTTCCCTGCACCATGGAGCACCAGGCTGGGCACTGCAGCAGCTTAACATTCCCTAGCTCAGAGCGCCAGGCTTCTCCAGGTACCCAGGTACTCAGTGCTAGAGACAGCATCTACCAGCTTCAGCCCAGCGCAGAAATCACAGAGCTAGGGGCCAGTGCCTGGGGATTTGTCCCTTTCAAGTTCTGAGGAACTGGCCAGCCTTCTTGGGGCTCACTGCTCCACCAGATCCTGCCCACCATGTGCTCACTTCCCACCCCCTGGCCACAGATGCCACTCCACACTTTCCTGCCCCCGGCTCTAAGGAATAGGAATGATTCAGGACCAAAATCTGCAGCCAGTGGAGCCCATGGCTGGGGATATAGCATGCTCAGAAGCAGCCCCCACAATCTTGACCCACATCCCCAAGCTCCCAGCTCCCTCTGCAGTGACCTAGAAACCAGCACACCTTTTCGCATCCCTCAGCCCCCACACATACCACCAAGGCCCACTCAGATAGGGACTAGGAAGGAAACCATGTGAGCAGCTGGAGAGAAGTGTCCAGAAGATGGAAACAACCAAGACAGGGGACCCCCAGGGAAATGGCAGGGATTGCGGGGACACTGGGCAGAGTCAGTGGGAACCAGTGGTGGGAGCTGCCTGCGGGGGGTGGTGGTGGTGGTTTTAGGGCATTTGAGACACTAACTTCATAGCCCACAGAGGAGATGCTAACAAGCCAGCAGCCAACAGACAGAGTTGCCCCTCCTCCCCACCCTGCCCTCTGAAGGCCCACAGCGGTAGATCCAAGCTGGAAACCTCGGCTGGAGGAGTGGGGCATGGAGCTGCTGCCAGCTCAGGGACAGGCACAGAGGGTGTATTGTGTGTGCCACCGCCACTGCCCTGCCCTGCAGGAGCTGCCAGCCCAGTGCCTCCTGCTGGCTCTGGGCAAGTTACCCAGGCAATAAAAGCGCAATAAATCACCCTGCCCTGGCCTTGGGGACACAGCTTAGCTTCACCTTGAGCCAAGAGTGAGTGCTCTGGCCTTGAGAGTACCCCTGCCTCAGAGACTCAGTTTTGTTCACCACCACCCCCCAAGGGCCCTGACTCCTCCCCTGACAACCCCCCAGAGGCTTTCCCTTGCCCAGAAGGGGTGTGGCCTAACAGATTGTGCCCTCTCTGTACAGAGGGAGCAAAGGGGTACAGAAGTTCCATGAGGGAAGGGAGAGGGAGGGCCCTCTGAGGGGTCAACATGGAGGGAGGAGGAGAGGGGAGGGGATGGCTAGGGGAGGAGAGCTCCTCAGCGGGCTTGACAATAGGTACCTGTGAGGAGCTCCCCCTACTCCCCCCCCCAACGCCCCCATAGAGCTTCCTTGTGCTTCATGCCTGGCAGGGCAATCTGGGGTCTACCCCTCATCATTCCTTCTCTGGGGCCCCGAACTCCTCACCCCAACCCCAAGTTTCCTTATTAAGGTCAAAAGGTCCCCTGCACAGCCCCCAGATTGCCCACCCTTCTCCTGACCCCTTACCCAAAGCACAACTCACAGGGACAGTGGGGATGAGGCACATTTCTGCTCACTACTGAAGCAGAAGGTACTACTGAAGCAGGAAGTACCTTAACCCAAACTCAATCTAGAGCTCTGAGGCCCATTCTCCACCCCCAGCTGCCCCCATTCAGCTACTTGGTCCCTCCCAGTCTAGGATGGGGCTTTCTTATATTCTCCTCCTCCTTTATGCCTGCTATTAGGGTCTCCCTTACAACCCTACATGGGGAGAAGTCCTTTCAGATGCAGAATCACAGGTCCTCCCAGTTGCTATAGGTCTGTCCCTTGGCTTTCCTTACTGGGAGAAGAGGGAGGGTCCCTGCCTTTATCTCCTCTCCTCCCAACTCCGTCTCCTTGCAGTTCCCACTCCTGGCAAGCAGGCTGACAGGTGCACCTGTTGTCCTTGGCCAACACTGGGAACTCATTAAACCCACCCCAAGGAGCTGTCAGCACACTGTTCCAGACTCCTCCCTCCCTCCTTCCCAGGGAGCAGGGGTCAGAAGAACCTGAGGCAGGAGTTGTGGGTAAAGGTGGAAAGACACCCTGGGACTTAGTTAGGATGAGACCCCACACATACCCACCCGAATCTGCCTTACCTTCTCCAGGTGTGTCCCAGATCCCCCATCTAGAAGCCAAGTCTTCAGAGAGGACCCAGAAACCTGTGAGGTAATTCACACCTCCTCCCCTTTGCACATCCTCTTCCTTCTTCCTCAAATGTCCCTGTCCCTGCCTTGCCATCCTAATGAACTCCTATTCATTCTTCAAATCCAGGGATAAACATCTCCCCAGTGAAATCTCATTGTCCCCTTAAAACAAAAGGGCTTCAGGAAGGGAGGGACCAAATCTACACTAAAGCCCTATGCCCACAGGAAAGCCTGGCCCAACAACTGTTGTTGTTAAATGCCTTCTAGATTCAGTCGGTTACAACTCATAGCGACCTTATATAGGGTTTCCAAGGAGCAGCTGGTGAATTTGAACCACCAACCTTGCGGTTCCAACCAACCTTGCAGTCCAGTGCTTATCCTACAGCACCACACCAGGGCCCACAGTAGGCATTAGTAAATATGTTAGGAATGCCTTTCCACATAGAAAGGATAAGCAGGAAAGAGAAACAGAAGTGTCCTGTGCAAATATGCAAATAGGAAGGGAGAGCAAAGGTTCCCTTTGCTGAGTGGGGATTGGGTGGCAGCCCAGCGTCCTTTTGCATAGAGTTGCGACAGAGTTGAGTCCGCCTGCTTGCTATTTTAGACCAGCAACTTCTCCCAACTCCACAGCCTGACTGTAAAGCCCCCAGTCACTTTTCAACTTCTAGGCCCCTTTTTTCGTGGTAGGATAAACACTGGACTGCTAACCACAAGATTCTAGCTGCTCTTTGGAAACCCTATACAGGGTTGCTATGACTCAGAACTGACTCAATGGCACTTAACAACAACAAGATGAAAGAATTCTCCAATTAGGGGTGGGGGTGCATGGGACAGTCCTTCCCCTTTCTCCCTGCTACTCCACTGTCAGCCCAGTCCCAGGGGTGGGTCAAAGGGAAGGCCAGACTATGGATCAGGACAGTACCTTTCAGTGAGGGAGGTGTGTAGGCACAGGGGTTGGCTCTCTTGGACTTGAGGTGGTGCCCCTCTCCTGAGGCTCTCTGTGAGGGAAAGGGTCAGGTTAGTGGGGTCACCAGAGGCCCTTTCCCTTCACCATCCCCTCCTATCCCATCCACAGTCCCATGAGCTGAGGGGTCTGGTTGCTGTTGCCCTGCCCGTCTGACCCTACACCTGGGCTGAGGCAGCCCCATTGCTTTGGGAGTGTGACAGGATGGGCCAGGGCAGAGAAAATCTGCCCAGGGTGCTGCTGATTGGTATGAGTTGGCTGTGTTGGGGAGGCCATCCGGTTCATCCCACCTCCAAAGGGCCCAGGTAAACTCACCTGATGGGGGGAAGCCTCCTCCTCTGAGGGAGACCACCAGTGAACCATGAAAGAAGAAGGAGGAAGGGCAAGATGGGAGAGAGAGAGAGAGAATCAGAGTTACTTTCTCCCCCAGGCTCAGACTCTGAAGAAGGGATTGGTGTGGTCCATAAATTAATCCTGGAGAGCTGACCTCCCAGACCTTCCCACTTCTCCTGCTCTGCTTGGCTCCCAGCTCCTGGGACCTTAGCAGGGCCCCCAGAAAGGCATCATGCCAGGGCTGAGAGACCCATGGCTTGGGGATGGGGAGACAGGCAAGGAGTCCCACCTGGTGAGGAATGCTCTGAGAGCCGGAACAGCATGGCAGGGGTCGGTCTCCTGCGTCTGATCTAAGGAGACAGAGGAAGAGGTGGGGAGGGGGGCAGCACAGACACCTGCTCACCACCTTCCTCCCCCCTTCCCCCAAGACAGCAGGGAATAAAACAGTGCTTTGAAATCCCCAAGAAACCTTAGGATCAAAGACATGTCAGACTGAAAGGAACTCTATTGCTCACTCAACCCCTTCATTTTACAAAAGTGAAAACCTAGGCTCAGAAAGGTTCAGCAGTGTGCTCAAAGTCACACAGCACTCCAAGGTAGAGAAAGAACAAGGAAACGCCAATATCTAACTCCTAGCCCATGCCCATCCCAGCTCATGGCTACTCCACAACAGGCCCTTCCCCTCCATAGTTTCTGAAGACATCAGACCCCAAAAGATCAAGTTGTCCTCCTTGATATATGAGCCAGGCTGAACAGTTGTTGGGGGAGCCCTGAGCCTTTCCAGTGACTCCCCCACCCCCCACCCCCCCAGCTTGGCAATCCAGACCAACTGTCAGTTAATTAGGTCCCCTCTGAGCTCTAGGGAAATTCACAGAGAACCAGGTGAGTCAAGCAGAAACTACCACCTCCCCCTGCTAGGCTGGCAACATACATATACTCCAGATAATAAACTGCTTATAGGCCCAGGATACCCCCCTTGTTCTCCCCCCATGATCCCTCATCTCTCCCCCTAAAATGACTTTGCCCCACTCTGTTGGGGACTATCTGCATCCTGGCAATAAGTAACCCACTGTTGGGATTGTGGGAGATAGATCTCTTCCCCCACCCTTACCCTCAGAGGCCTGGGATAGGGGTTGAGGGTGAGACAGAAAGGCTCTCTGAGGATTCAGAGGTCTGTGTGGGAAGAGGTCTAATGTCTGTGGTCACTGGGATTGGGGCTCTAGGGTCTGACAGCCGAAGAGGGTCAAAGCAAGATGCCTAGACCTACAGGGTGGGGCCAGGACAGTTAGGGGCAGGGCAGCAGGGCAGTCCAGGTAGAGGCCTCAAACTCCTGCTCTGGATAATGGGGTCAATATGTGAAGTTTCTACGTCTGACCAGACGCTGGCGCTAGGACCCGGACGGACTGGTCGCGGTGGCATCCTATAGGGAAGGAGGACACTGCGCAGGGTCAAGAGGACAGTCCCTCTCCTTGGTCAGAACTCTGCTGGCGGACTCCTAAGGAGGCAGAGGCCCTGGGAAAAAGTTGTCCACGACTCCAGCGAACTTCACGCACCGCCCCGCACCCCTGTCCGGTCTGAGGAAGGTCCGGGCTCTCTCTCTCTCAGACGCAGACCCAGGCCAGACGGGTCCTGGTGTTGGGGGGGACACCGCCGCGGGTGGGGCGTGGCCCCTTACCATCTCCACCTGGCGAGGGTCGAGTTGGCTGGGGGGCGCGGGCACCGAGAATTGGATCTTCTTGCGGTCCTTGGGGTCCATGGCGGGTGGAGTAGTCGGTGGGTCTGGGGGCGCACGACTCGGGGACCCGGCGACGGTCGCGGCTCGACTCACCGGCTCTGCTCGGGGCGCAGCGCTGCCGGCGGGTTGCGTGCGGCGAGGAGGAGGTGGACTGTTCACGCACAGATAAAAATACCGCGCGCTGTGAAATGGGGGGGGGGGCGGTGCGCGGAGGAGGGGTCGGCGTGTTTGGCTCGCTGGGTCGACTTGGAACCCCCAGCCTCTTGGATCGCCGCTGTGCGGAGCTCCGAACTCCGCCGTCTGACTCGATGGTCGTTCAGGATCTCTCTCTAGCTCTCTGCCCCTCCGTTTCTATCCTTCTTCCCTCACTGTCTCTGGGGGGTCTTTCTGTGACTTTTCCCTGACTCTCCCTCGGTGGTCTCCCGCTATCGGCTAGCTTCCGCTCAGTGTCTCCGTCTCGATCTCCTGAGCTCACCCCTCTGGCCCCAGCCTTGGGGTCCTCAGCTAGTCCTTCTCCCAGCTTGGGACTGGCCCCGCGTGCTTGATGGGAGGGTTTAGGAGAAAGTGGCCAATGAACACCCAGATCGGTGTTCCCTGGGGCTGAGGGGGGGGGGGGGGGGAGAGCCAGCGCCAAAGAGCAGGCTGGGGACCCCCTGCCGTCTCCCCAGAACTTGAAGTTGCATTATTGATGGAGTCCAACCGGGAGGATAATGGGGGGGGAGGGAGTGGAGCCCCGGGACGCTGGTTTTAACCCCTTCGTGGCCTGGGCACTTGTATTTCACGGGGAGGCCTGTGAGGTCGTGGAGAGAGTAGCAACATGTCACGCTGTGAATGGGGGTGTCCTAGAAAGCGTGTGAGTGTGAAGGAGCGCGTTGCTGGTGGGAGGACACGTGTCAGTCATTCTGGCAGGGAGGGTGTGTGAGTGAGTGAGTGCCAGGGGCCTAGCTGCCTATAGCTAGGGATTGTGTGTGTGTGTGTGTGTGTGGGGTCGGTGTGGTGTGAGTCTGTGTGAGTAAGTGTGAGTAAGTGTGTCAGAGTGTCAGGGATGTGGGAGTGGGTGGCAGGGTGTGGGAGGACAGCTTGTATGTGGGGGTGGGGGTGGAGGAGGATGTCAGAGACTGTCAAGGTGATGGGCAGGCTGTGCCAGTTTGCAGGGGGTGGGGGACACTGGATCCACACTTCCTGAGAGCCTGCGCAGCAGGGGGGCACGAGGTTGTGAATGTGTGTGGAGGGGGATGTGTCCCTGCCATGATGTACTCAGGATTCACGTGTTTCCTGCCTTATCTCTCCAGAATGAGCCAGCCCAGGGGACAGAATTGGGGTGTCTGGGGTCTGCCTATACCAGTACACCTGTGTGAGTTTGATGTGTTCAGGAACAGAACTAGAGGAGAGAGGTGTGTGTGTAATTCTCTCTCCCTCCACAGAAGTGTTTGTGTCATTCTCTGGGGGAGGAGAAGAGGACTGGCCCTGTGGGTTGGAGTGTCCCTGTTTATCTGTCCAGGTCCAGAGTATCTTCCTTCTGCCAGACTCTGTGGGGGGTTCTGAATGCCTCTCTGTAGCAGTGATGGTACTTGTGTGGGTAGATGTGTACATAAGGGTGTCTTCCTGGGGCTTTGTTTATGTTGGCTGTTTTCTCTCCTGGTCACACTCAGGCCTGGAGCAGCCAGGAACCCTTCCTTCCTCTCCCCTACTCCAACTCCTTCAGAAACTTTTCCACTCACAGCCCTAGCCTGCAGGGTCCTGGGTGAAACAAGAAATCAGGAGAGTCTTGTGGAAATGGGGCCAGAGGCACCCTGGTGTTCCTTCATAGGATCTGTGCCCACTCTAAGGGTGAGGGAGAGGGTAGCCTTAGGGCAGAGCTTTGCTTGTGGGAGCCAGAAGCTCTGGCCTCTGGGCTCCACACACTCCTAACCCCAAGCCTGGCTCAAGTTCCTGCTGTGTTTGTTGACTTCAGTGCTTGTCAGGGAAAGAGCTGGATGCCAGGTTGCTGGTCCTGGGTATGGGCATCTCTGGCATCCAAGCCCTGGCTTGGCCCACAACCTCTCTTCCAAATGGGTTTGGGTCAGGAGTGGCAAAGACCCGTTTGGCAAAGCTGTGGGAGGGTAAACATGGTAAGAAGAGGCACAGGAAGGGCACGAGCAGCCACTGGACCATTGTGTGGGCCTGCAAACCGACCGCCAGTCCAGGAGATGTGGGATGAAGGGGACAGAGGACAGCTGGGTGGATGGTGGGGACACAGTGGCATCATTACCGGTCATACTCAAAGTGGAAAGGCTTTTGGGAATGCTGTGGCTGAGCCTCATTGGACCAGGGAGGATTTGTTTATGGAGGATTTGCCAAAGTATTAGTGTTCTGAGAGGTCCCGAATCAGGAAAAATTCCCCTGGTCTCAGGCTAGGGCAGCTGGGAAGGGAGAGGAGAGCAGAGAATCTTCCCTTTTAGCCAGGTCGGGACAATGAGACATTTGGGTTAAAGGAGGGTCTTTACCCACTTTCACTAGCTTTTGCCTAGGCATCCATGGCCGCTAAAACCCAAGGGTGGGGAAGATGAGCTGACAAAAGTGAAGACAGAGGGACAGACAGGAAGGAGGAGAAAGGAAGGAAGGATGGCAGAGACAGGAGTTGACATAAAGAGCTAAGGGAGAAGGTAGAAGAGGGACAAGGAATGTGCCTATGAGAGATGGAGTGAGAAAGCCTGGAGAGGGAGAGAATGCCTCACCAGGAGGGAGAAAGGCAGGAGACAGAGATGGAGAGAATAAAAATAGCTCAGCATTAAGATAATTGCAGCTCACAGTTCTGCCCTCCGTTAGGAATTAAATGAGGTTTTATTACTTTGATTTTTCTCTCCTGGATCCTACGCGACTTCGCAAGAACTTGGAGAAAAGTTTTTCAGGTGGGCGTCCAGGTGGTGGGGGCTGTGTGGGCGGGCGACAGAGGAGGAAGGGAGCGAGACTTCTGGGAACTGGGTGAGGGGTGGCAGGGGGAAAGGGTGGGGTGAGGGGCTGATGGGGCTGATGGAGCCCCACCTGAACTGGGGGACAGACTCAGGGCCAGGACTTGCCTGAGGCTGAGAAAAGAGGGGTCAGGGTGACCTTCATTCACTTTGACTTAAGAATTAATCATATGCAAATGAGATGTAAAAATAATATGCCACTCCTCAGTTATTATTCTTGAGTTAAAAGCACAGGCAGTTGGGTCCAAGGAACAAATTCAAGACTTTGTTTGACTTAACTCTGATTGAACTATGGGTCTTTCTGCTTGGTGTCTTGTAGTACTGACACACACAAAGGTTCATTATGTTGTTGTTGTTGTTGTTGTTAAGTGCCGTCCTGTCGATTCCGACTCATAGTGACCCTGTACAGGGTTTCCGAGGCTGTAAATCTTTACGGGAGTAGAAAGCCTCATCTTTCTCCCATGGAGAGAAAGCTGGTAGTTTCAAACTGCTGACCATGAGATTAGCAGCCTGATTCGTAACCACTATGCTACCAGAGCTCCTTAAGTTCATCATGGGAGTCTATTACTGTCTCCCAGCTTGGAGACCAATCCTTCTGACCATCTGTTGTCCTCTCATTATCCAGAACTCACTTTCTCTGGGAGGTGAATTTGGAAGTCTTTCTTGGAGGTGGGGAGAGGGGACAATCCCAAATATCCCCTTCCCCCTCACACCTCCTGCACACACCTGAGCGCATGCACAACAAAGGGTGCTGTTATGTGTTATGTGCATAGAACATAGACTAGAGGTTCAGCAGATCTAGTTTAGAATCTTGGGTCTGTACTAACATTTACTGTGTGATCTTGGACAAATTTCTTAGCTTCTCTTTGCCTTGCTTTTCTTATGTCTTCAAGCCTACCTCACATGCTAATTGGGAGGATTCAGTAGGGTAATAACAAAGTACCCAGTCCTGGTGGTGGTGTTGTTAAGTGCTGTCAAGTCGGTCCCGACCCATAGCGACCCTGTACAGGGTTTCCGAGGGTGTAAATCTTTATGGGAGCAGACAGCCTCATCTTCCTCCCGCAGAGGACTGGTAGTTTTGAACCGCTGACCTTAAGGTTCGCAGCCCGATTCGTAACCACTACGCTACCAGAGCTCCTCCTGGTAGGTATCAACAAAGATTCCAGTTTCCCTGGGGCTCTAGAGTGTAGTTCCGAGAATGCTCAGTAAGTGGCGCCTTTGGCCAGGGTTTAGGGGATACGATGCTGGCATTGCGGGTCTGGAGTTGGGCATCACACCCATGACCTTGGCATCACAGAACTGAGTCGAAACTGGCTGGGCTGGCATGTGGCAGCTGGAAGGGAGGCCCCCGGAAGTCCCTGGGAAGCAGCCTTAGAGGAGCCCAGGAGCAAGCGCTGGCTTGGCACACTGGGACATGTCCCTCACCAGGTGGGTAGAAGCAGCGTCAACTCCTGACACTGGAGAAACTCGTGGACCCCAAAAGGGAAGGACAAAAACACTCTCAGGTCAGACAATAGTGGCATGAGAACATGCCGGTAATCATATAAGACACTCATTCACATACTGATTTCATTCATTCATTTGTCATCAATCCCTTTGTTCATTCAATAAATTTACCCACAGCTTTTATTTATTTTTTTAATCAGCTTTATTGAGTTAGAGTGTTTACATACAACAACAAAAAAAGGCACTAATTTAAAATGTACATTTTAATGAGTTTGGGACCCACTTTATATAATGTGTGACCTCCACCACAATCCAGATATAGAAGATTTTTCCTCCCTCCACTCCTAAAGTGTCCTGTGTGCCATCCAAGTCAATCCCTCTCTCCCCTCAATCTCAACATACTGTTTTTTTGAGACATGTCCATCTCTCCATCATATTAAGTTCCAGCACATGCTATCGAGAAAACGGGTTGTGGAATGAATAGGTGAATACTCAAGTCATAGAAATTGACAACAGATGTCATAGATGAAACATTTATTCTGTGATGGGCACTGGGCTAACGCGTCCTGTGGCACTGTGGTTAACGTGCTCTGGTGCTAACCCGAAAGTCTGTGGTTTGAGCCC